TCAAAGTAGAGAATTATTTCTAGTTTCTTCCTAGGAAGTAATCGATGTTTTTATTCTTGTGAAAAGCTTTCTTTCGAAATCCCTGGATCAGTTGCATTTGATTTCGGCGTCTTTTATTTTGGAAAGGTTGGACAAGTTCCGAAGGTGACCATACTCTCTCATACTCTTCTTTGAAACCCTTTTTTTGCGAGCAGTGTCGCGCAAGTAGAAACAAGGCAGGAGTATTGTGCATTAATCGCAAAAAGTTAAAAAAAAAAAAAAAAAAAAAAAAGAAATTTACGTAAAATTAACGCTACTAGTTTCCTGCGTACTCAAATTATTGCCAGTTAATTTTCTCTCACGTTGTAAGTACATTTCCAATATGAATCATTTCTTTCTCTCTCTCTCTCTCTCTTTCTTTCTCTTTCTCTTTCTCTCTTTCTCTCTTTCTCTCTCTCTCTCCTTAATCTTTGTCCCTCTTTTCTTTTTTTTTTTTTTCTTTTCTTAATCTTTGCATCGAATAGAGCGAACAATTGACATCGACATTTATTCGAGAATCATTTTGAGGTATTTGTAGAACGATTTTCTTCTTCTTTTAGCGCTAGATCTTTCGTTAGTTTACACTTTGATCTGTATACTCTTGTTCAAGTAATTTGCTGTGTGAATTTCTTTCTTTTTTTTTTTTTTTTCTTTTTTTTCTTCTATTTTCACGTTATTAGTTATAATATCGATCGAATATTTCTCGTGCAACGCGTGTGTAGATGATTTAATTTGTTCTGCGACGTAGCACGTTTTCGAAGCTTGAATGAAACGATGAATAATATGCGGGAAATTCAAATTAGCCACTTTCAAACCACTTGTTTTCTCGACTCGTACAATCCTTCACGATTTTTTTACGATACTTACCATATACATGTATATGTATAGAATAATTTAATATAGAATAATTTAAAGGAAAATTTCTAAAAGAAGATTTTTCTTTTTTTTTTTTTTTTTACGCGCAAATAGAACACACAAATTGATATTGAAAAGGCACGTTTAGAAAATTCACGTAAAGTATTTTTTAATTATCGATACTGTTAACATTCTTTCTTTTTCGCAGAAAAATTTTTTAAATTTTCATTCCATTGTCCAACGAAAACACGACAATACTCACTCTTTACACACCTTAACAAAACTTCCCCTCGTAGCAACTTAAAATATCTCATCACTATGGACAGAGGTAAGAGATTGAATTTGTAGCTGATTCCCGCGAGTATGAATCGCCACTACGTAGGACATAAGTTTTCATTAGTGCACAAGCATACGTATGTTTTGCTAGTTTCGTTTTAGAAAAATGCAGTACAGTCTCGATAGTATGAAAATCGAAAAATAACAATAAATCGATCATAAAAACCAACCACTTGTTAAAAATATCCCAAGATCTTTTTCGTAAACAAAGAAGAAAAGAAAAGACGATAATTCCAAATTAAACAATAATTCAATTAATCTTTATATTTCTATCTAAACTACGTCTAAAATCGTCGAGTCCACAACAAGTCTCTTTTCACGAATCCAATCGAATCGTAATTTCAATTACTCTATTCCGCAAGAACTATCGAGATTCTACCATATATATATATTATATATACGTCTTAGCACTCGATCTCAAGTCTTATGCGTCTTATATATAAAATCCCTTTAAAAAAGAAAAAAGAAGCGTACCAAGGAATTACAAGCATATCAGACACACATACACACACACACACATTCACACATATTCCGTAGAAGTATATAAACGAAACAATGTCGATGTCAGACTTTGAACGCGATTCAGTGATAGGAGTCCCAATCAGACCAGACTTGCGACACTGTTCGGGACACTTTAGACGAATTAGAGGCCTAACCGTAATCCCCTTGTACATATATCACATATGCTTCAAGTATATTATATATACGCTGCTACTCGTAGCGGCCGCTTATCGACCGACCGATCGAAAATCGATTAATTCCCCCTCCCCCGTTTCGTTTCATTTCCCATCTGCAGCAGACCCCCAACGAAAGAGCCAATGTCGACGTCCTCGGGAACGTCGCGATTGACGGTCACGTCGGACACGTCCGCCCTGGCCACGGCCTTGCAAACGGCGTTGAACGGGAGAACGGCGC